CGCGGGCATGTAATATTCTGTTTGTTATATAAACTTACTAATGACGACGTTTTTGACGATTTTCCGAAGATTTCCGACCACTTTCTGAAGATTTCCGAAGATTTTCCAAAATTGTTTCGAAGGCCAGACGAACGCTTCCGAACATTTTCCGAACATTTCTGAACATTTCCCAAAGTTTACCGAAGATTACCGGAGATTGCCGAGGACGGCCGAAGAAGATCACAAAATGTTTCGATCATACATCAACAAATTTAAGTGTAGTTAAAAGGACAGAAGAAAAATGTTATCAAAAAAGAATGATATCTTCACAGTGTGAAAGATAAAAATAGTATCTTCACTGCGCGCGATGAAGATATGATTTTTTAGTAAAAGGAGAAATCCTGGTATTTCACTGTTGCTTAATTATATAATAATAGGCATTTAGTTGCTGACAACTATTTGTTATCGATTTTATCGACAACTAGGCAGTTTCCCTTTCAAAAAAAGGAACTGCTTTGGTTGTCGACAATGACATTTTTTTTCCGTTTTTACCGTGTATGGGAATCATCGGTTTAGTTGTCGACAACTAATGAAACCATAAAATCAGTTTATACCATTGCGACTTTTCGGCAAGAAGCTTGGCTTGGCCAGCCGAAATATATCGATCAAAACTTTGAAAATTCGCCTTATATCGGTCTGTTCTTTTACAGTAATTTTTTGGATTTGATGATGTCACTTGATTTCAACCTCGTAAGGTGTTAGCGTTTGCTTTTATTTTATTTTATTTATTTATTTATTTAACATTTCTTTATACACGGTTAAAAATCATCAGGTAATACTAATATTTAAAGTTATATATAGTTATATTTAAAGTTGGGTGTGCAAGGTTTGCTTAGAAACAGTGCTAAAATGGCCCGCTCGTTTCTGATGCCTTAAGGTCATTCCACTGAAATAGAGCCTGCACTGAGATTGTTGTCAAACTTTGCCTATTGATTGTTTATATTACAGGAAATTAAATTTTGAAATACGAATGTGGGGTCGCCGTGTTCGTTTAGGTGCAACAACACCTTGTTTATACCCAATGAATCCTTGTAATAGCACCATGATTATAGTCACCATTGCTTGTTAAATTCATGTTTCTGGCAATTGTTTCCTGTTCTACCCTGAGAATTGGTTCATATTTATTTTACATAGAGAAATTTACCACTCAATTCAAAACAACAGAACAAAATGATAGGTTACCGCACTCGCTTTCGAGAAAATGACAATTTACCTCTATGCAGTCCAGCCGTAAAGAAAAAGCCGCCATTTTTTAATGCGCGCGCGCTAATCACGCGTGAAATTATGGGCAGTAGGGATGTGCAGTGCAATACTAAGGATGACCTCAAGTTAAACTGTTCTCATTATGTTATCATTTGTAGGCGTACCCTTTATTATCAAGCATTGTGAAAGCAGGAGGTCATCGCGGACTGGCCGAATGTCAAAGACTGTTTAAAAACGAGGTCTGGAACTGTACGTTGGATGACAAACACGTGTTCAAAGAGTTGCCTATCTTTTTCAAAAGAACCTTGCCTCACGGTAAGAGCTTTGTTTCTCATTAATTTTATGCCGGTAAAATTCCCGGTCATAGGGTAACCCTCTGATCAAATTTGACTTTCCATAGTCTGAAGTGACAATCGTCTCTCGCGCCGCCCTCAGTCCAAACACCGGGCTAAGGCAATTTGAGCTAATTTGGTCTGAGGGCGAGGTGCTTCTGAAATTTCGGGCTTGCGCCCTTACACGGCACAGTTTATGAGGGGCGAATGTAATTTTCTTAAATATCACTGCAGTCGTTGATAAACCTCTAAAAATTTCATAACATATGTAAGCAATCTCCTCGTTAATCCAGTTTTTTCGAATTTTATTCTTCGGTACCGAGGCGGGGTGGGAGTAGGGAAGGGGGAGCATTATCAACATCTGTATGTAGTCTCTGTTCTCTTTCTTCTCTTTCTTCCAAACTTGAACTTAAATAAAAAAGGTCCTTTTAAAACACGGCTCGACCCCCAAAATATCTCCCAAAAAATGAGTGTTTGCTTGGTTTTGGTGAAACCAAGGATACCTTGAAACGGGTCTTGTGCTGTTGGTATTGTATCATAATCGTGAATTTTCAAAGCTAAAGAGGTCATCTCCACCTTGAATTCGCCATTATCCCTCGTCCCCCTTCCCAAGGACATTTCAGTCAAACTGAAAATGAATTCCTCTATCATTGCAGCCACTCGAGAAACTGCGCTTTTACACGCCATCAGCACTGCCGCTATTACACACGAGATCACGCAACAGTGCAGAGAGAACAAAATCCCCGGATGTCGGTGCGTCGAATTGAAAAACAGACAACCAAACAACGGCAATGGCGACTGGCAGTGGGGAGGCTGCAGTGATAACATCTGGTTCGGCGAGAACGTGACCAGGCGTTTCATTGATGATCTGGAGCAAGATGATGATGCACGAAAAGTCGTCAACTTGCATAATAACGAATTGGGAAGAAAGGTTAGTGTCAGTGTTGAGATTTCCATTCTGAGCATGCGCAGCAAACATTCTGAAGGAAGGGGCAAACGAGCAATGCCGCCAGCGCGAAAATTGGAACAAGAGCAAAAAATCTACGAAGTCTATGCCAAGGTGCTTGACTCATTTTTCGCAGAACAATGAAGTTTTAGCTTGTCCCGATTGTGCTGGGAAACTTTTGGGAAACTTTTGAAGTAAGGAGCAACTTTTGGCGGTTCTAGCAACCTCGAGCAAAATATAGGTTTAGAGCACATATCAAGCACGAGAAAGTCAACAATTTCATAAAAAACTTTAATTTATGCGAACTTCCTATATGTTTATCAACCTTTTTAAGTTTGAATACATAACCTGTCACTGGAAAACATTTGGCAAGACGTCAAATGAGCCATGTGTTTTGTTCCGTTAGACTTAAGAGTGTCCTTAAATTTCGCCCATATTTGCAAGCAACTCTTTAAAGTTAAGTTTCAAGCTATTTTTCTTGCCCAATGTCAGCATATTATTCTGAAAAACGAAAGCTGAATACTCGTCGTTTGTATAAAAAAAAGTATCAAGAAATTTACGAAGCATTTTTTTGACTTTTGGCAATCTTTTAGCAACTTTTTGACACTCCAGTGAGCAACTTTCCAGCATTTTACGAACACAATTGGGACAGGCCCAATGGAGTGGTCACGTTTCAAGAATGGCGTTACATCATCGTTTGATGACGTCATTCATTCTAATATTTGTTAATGATGATGATTGTAAATGCACTTTGAAAAATTAGAAAAATCGCTAAATTCTTTCCAATTAGAAATCGGTTTCTAATTGTCCCTTGCGCCGAATAGACAGCAGTTCATTTGAACAGACGGTACAAAAATCAAACCATCCACTGATTAGTCGTATGTCTTCAAAAAAAGGTTGTCAAGTTAAAAGTCAAAAGAGAATGCAAGTGTCACGGAGTGACTGGGAGCTGCAATTTTAAAACTTGCTGGAAATCACTGGCGTCATTCAGCGATGTTGGAGAAGAACTCAAAAAAAAATACCGCCAAGCAGCGAAAGTTACTCTCCTCGATAACGTGCTGCAAGACGAAGACAACAAACCAGTCACAAGGAAAGATAGAAAACTGGTTTTTCTGGATCCCTCCCCAGACTACTGTGTGCGAAATAGGACTGCCGGCTCGCTAGGCCTACTGGGAAGAGCGTGTGGAAATGACGACGTCACCACTAGCAAATGCAGGTCGCTTTGCAATTCGTGTAGTCTGGGACACAAGACTGTGGAACACACGATGTACGTTAAGTGTCGTTGTAAGTTCGTGTGGTGCTGTACCGTTGAATGTGAGACATGCACTAAAGAGTATTCTGTAACAACTTGTACACGTCGGTAAAACATACTCAGTCGCAAATCAGGAGTATCAACATCGTTCGCTGCTGCGCCGGGTGTCAAAGGTTTCTCTCGTCCCTTGCACGAGTGCTGAAGCCAGGAGCCTGAGGTCGAGAAAAACCTCTGTCACCCAAACTAAGAGTAGTTAGGCAGGCGCATCGAAAAAAAAAGAGAGAGAGGCGCTGGAAGTTTTGTTTAGAAACATTAACATTTTGTTTAGAAACTTAACTCGGGATTCTTTTTATACGGACGTACTTCTGGTCATGAAATAACACCGGTAATTTTTGTAAGGTGCAGTTTATCCTATGAGAACGGATTGTGTTAAACGTCCTCTTTTGCCGATCGTGCAAACACTCGCAGATTCAAGGTAACAAAGTGTTTCTTTGAAGAATTTCGGCCTTGTAGAGTCCTGTATCACGGAGTAGCGTAGATGAACCATGATTAAATTTGAGTCAAGGTGCGCGAAGGTGTGAGAAGAATAAGTCTCCTTCAAGCTCATCTCTTCGGCATGAAAATAATATAGCCTGAGAAAGTTCGCAAAAAGCAGTGGAATCCCGATTTTTTGAACCTCCAGGGGAAAAGAAAATTAGTCTGAACAATCGGGTGGTTCGAAACATCTGGGCTAAAATTACAATGTTCTCCCTAGAGGAATGAAACGATTTTTGGTTCGAGTTATCGGGAAGCTAACAAAAGGGAGGGTTCGAAAACTTGGGATTCCATTTTAGCTACATGCATATTCCAAAAAGAGAAATGTAAAATATAAATTGGTCAAGTATGGGGAAGTAGTTAGAAAACCATCACCGACTGCATTGTAAAGCATTGTCCCCTAGGAAATTTTTTTCTTCAAAAATATTAAAAAGCCGGAAAAACAAAATACTATTTGATGTTAATGTTTAGCATTACCGGAGGTAGGGGAACCATACTCTCGGGGCAGGGAGTCCCATGTGAAAAGGTCGGCGGTGCTCCTCGGGAAATTTGAATCAAACCCCTAAAGGAGACCAATCTGGATGTGGCTCGATTTTTATTTGACGCCTAAAAGATACCCCTTAAAATGGAATAGGCTCAATTAGCAGCCGCTGATCAGGAAAGGAGCCCGCGCTAGTAGACCTGACTAGAGGGACCGGCGGAAATCAAGACTAAAAATGGAAACAAGAGCCTTTTTAATTATTATTTCTTCGACGGCATTCTAAGAGATACTTTGAGAGCTAAAAATAGTGGTGTTTCGTCATCAATACCTTAAGTGAGAATCAAATTTCATGATTTTATACCCCTAAGGCGAGACGACGAGATTTCCCGACCTTTTCAGATGGCAGTTCCCCCCCCCCCCCCCCCCCCCCCCCCCCCCCCCCCCC